CATCCAAAGCCATTTGATTTAAGATATGTTGGAGTTGGAAATGAAGATTGTGGTAAATATAACTATCAAGGAAATTATCTCGAGTTCTATAAAGCTATAAAACCTAGATATCCTGATATTCAGATTATCTCAAATTGTGACGGTTCTCAATTTCCAATCAATCATCCCGCAGATCTTTATGATTTTCATGTAATAATATGTTGATTAATTATTAATTGTTTTTTAAATTTTTTATCATTAATTTATAATTATTAAATCTGAGTTTAGGTTGAGTATCTTACATGCTATTATTGCTAATACTTTTTTCAATTATTAGATTTATACAAATTCTAAGGACATGTTTTCCCAATATACCAAGTTCGATAAAGCACCATGATCCGGTCCAAAGGTTTGATTATTAAAAAAATTCATTTATTTAAAAATAGTGAATTATATGTTTTTAGTAGATTAGGCATTTAAAATTGCATTGATATAGAAATTTGCTCATGCTTTATTAATTGCATTTTATAGGCATATGTTAGTGAGTATGCTGTTTGGAGGGAAGATGCAGGTAATGGAAGCCTTTATGCAGCTGTGGCTGAAGCTGCATTTCTTATTGGGCTTGAAAAAAATAGGTTAGGTTTTATTATATATAAAATTTTATGATATTTAATTAATAAATTTTGTGGTTTTTTGAGTTAAATTTTAAACATTTTTCAATTTTCTACAGCGATGTCGTTAGCATGGTTGCCTATGCACCACTCTTCGTAAACACAAATGACAAATTGTAATTTTCTAATTTCTTATCATTTGTTTTTATTTATTATTTATATATGTCAATACATATATGATTTATTTAATTAATTCATTTTTATATGAAATAGTTGGAAACCAGATGCAATTGTATTCGACTCTTATCAAAATTATGGAACTCCAAGTTATTGGCTCCAACAATTTTTCATTGATTCTAATGGAGCAACCTTTCTTAATTCAACTCTCCACAATTCTTCGAGCTCGATTGTTGCCTCTGCAATTCAGTATAAAAATTCTCAAGATGGGAAGAATTATCTAAAAGTCAAGGTAAAATAACTCAAATTTTTTATAATGAATAAATGTTGATTTAAAGTATTTAATTTTTAATTAGTTAATTGCACAACTATTAACTTGTGCAGGTAGTAAACTTTGGAAGCTCAATTGAAAACTTAGAAATTTTAATAAACAATTTAAAATCAAATGTGCAACAATCTGGTTCATCAAAAGTGATTCTTACCTCCCCGGATAAAATGGACGAAAATTCTTTCACTGAACCAACAAAGGTACACTTTATTTTTAAACACAATATGCAATTTGTCATAGAGATATATTGTGATTTTTTTCTTAATTAATTTCTTTATGTTTTAATTTAAAAATAAAAAAAAATTATAAGTCGATTAAATTTAAGTTTAATCAATATTGATTATATAAAAAAAAATCTAATACATGATTTTGTTTCATTTTGTATATGTACAGATTATACCCAAAAGAACTTCACTTGAAAATGCAAGCAATGACATGAATGTTGAACTTGCTCCATATTCAGTTACATCGTTTGATTTATTAATTTAAAACACTATTTTCTAGAAGGAATAAATGGAAGAAATGTGTACATTTCTATTTCTATTACATAAAGTTCATCTTGGTTTGCCATCCATATGCACTGTATATACTTCTATTTCTTTTCACTAGTGAATTGTAATATCAAAATCAATAAAAATGTACTTTAGCCACACAAAAAGTTTGATACATTACAAGCTGGAAACCAAATGAAGACAACAACACATTGTAATCTTTAAACAAGTGTAAATATTCCTTCTAGTAAAGTAGTGGTAAATGAGTAGAATAAGTTCTTGGAAATTTTTCCATTCATTAGACATAAATAAAATTAAAATATGGTGGCAAATAGAGAGGTGGTTGTAGATAATAAAGAAAAGGAAAGTTGTGTTACCTTTCGAAAACGGTAGATATCCGATTAACATGAAATATACGTGTGTTCTATTAAATATTTCAAGTATAAAATTCTAAACAAACTTAATAAAATACATTGGCTGAAATAATTTCAAGAGTAATAAGTCTTTGTTTATAACATGTTTATAATAATAATAATAATAATAATAATAATAATAATAATAATAATAATAATAATAATAATAATAATAATAATAATAATAATAATAATAATAATAATAATAATAATAAGAATAAGAATAAGAAGAAGAAGAAGAAGAAGAAGAATAACAATAACATTTTTGAATAATAATAATAATAACAACAACAACAACAATAATAATAATAATAATTAGGGTTAAATATGTTTTTGGTCCCTATAAATATCTCACATTTTATTTTTAGTCCCTATAAAAAAAAGACATATTTTGGTCCCTACAAAATATTTATGCATGCAATTTTAGTCCTTGTTATTTTCTAAAATTTTGAAAACTATTTAATTACCCTTAAACTTTTAAATTTTTGAATTTTTTTCATACATGTTTAGATTACTATAAAATATTTCATTACTAAATTATATAATTTTTTAAAATGAGAAAAATCAAATATGAATTTTTTAAATTTCAAAAGATAATGATAAAAATAATAAAAATCTTGACTTATAAATCAAATTTTAAGTTCCTTTTCTTTCGAGGAACTTTTTATATTATTCTAAACCTAACTGCAAAATAATCATTCAAAAATACACATTGCTTTAACAGTAGAGACTAAAACTACGTGTATAATTATTTGTAGTGACCAAAACACCCTATTTTTTTATAGGGACCAAAAACAAAAGTTGGTAATTTTATAGGGACAAAAAAACATATTTAACCCTAATTATTATTATTATTATTATTACTTATTAAAATAGCATGGCAATGTGATCCAATAGCCAACAACTATTTTCTTTGTCGGTCCTTGACAATTTCTCTCAAATGCATTAAAGCCAAAAAAAATTGCATGGTTTTACAAACCCTAATGCCTCAGCTCCAATTTGGCTTCGTCCACCATCACAATGGTTCTGACAACACCATTCTTTTTCTGAGTCAATAGCAGTTCAAGAATGTTGCTCTATAGATGGTGGTTATATTTCGTTGGCTCTAATCTAGCTTTTCAAGTGATTCTCATTGTTTTCAAAGATTTTAATTTGTATGTATCTCCCTGGTTTTGTATTTTACTATTTCTTTGATTTGTTTTGTCTTGGACTTTTTGTGCACTATTTGTGCTTTCTTTGAGCCTGATTTGTAGCTTTCAACATATTGTACCCTTTTTAGATATTTGAAATAAGTTAGTTTATTGTGAAAAAGCTTTCGAAGTGTTATTGATTAAGATGAAAAGAATTGAATGTTGATCAAGTATTTGATTTGAATTTAAAACGATTTGATTATGAAATGGTTATGAAATTGAAGAAGGGGTAATGAAAATGAATTGAAGGTTTGGTGAAATGTTTTGAAAATTACTTGATGTTTATCAAGTGGTTTTGGTTTTAATTTTGAAATAATAATTTTAGTAGACTTTATAATTATTTGTTTATTATTTATGATTTTTTTCTTAATATACTTTTTCATATACAAAAATAAAAATAACATAAAATATTAAAGCGAAATAAAAAAAGGGGGTCAAAAATATAAAAGGGGTGTGTTAAAAAGGAAAAACTAATAGAGTAAATGGGCACAAGGCCCAATCAACAAAAAACAAATAAAAATGGGGGCGCAACATTAAATCATAGGTTTTGTTCAGCAATTGAGCCTAAGGCCCACGCTTCCAAGGCCCAATGACTGAAACAAAAACAAAAAATAAGAAACTGGACAATCCATACCGTCTGGTGATGATGAGACGACTGTGATCTTAAAATAAGAGGTTTTGCATCCATACCTTATGATCTTTATCATGTGCCTAACCATAGTTCATGTCCACAGTAAGCGATATGGGGATCCTACTTATTTATTGTGGAGTCGTCAGTTATGTTTCGAATTCTTGTGATTACAGAAGGGACCTAGCCATATAATATATATAACCCTAGTCCCTACCCATTGTGGGCCCAGGGTCAAATCCCACACTTATGCGCACACCAATCAAGTTTCAGACACTCGGCCTTTAATTAAAAGTGATCACTTAACCCATATAAGGGCTTATATATGCACGGCCATCAGAATCAGGATTAACCTATTTTTCACATACTAAACAACAATTGATTGTAACCCATAAAAAATTAGATAAATCTAACATTCTCCCACTAGGACAAAATCAATTGTGTGATTTTTATTTCAAAATACGTTTTGAAAATGAGTCTCGGGTTATTGACTAATTCCTTAAAATGCGGCGCATTTTAAGGAAATGCATGACTTTAGGTGCAATGTCTGAATATGACTCCATCCAACAAAACTCAAGCAATATTGAATCAACCTTTGTAGCTTTGAACCTATTGTACCCTTTTTAGATATTTGCACAAGTTTACTTGAGTTTTCAAAAAAAAATTGCTCGTGGCTCTAATGCATAGCATTATGTAAGAATAGTTTATGCATGAAGACAATCACTTATACTTTTTTTTTTATCGAAAAAAAAAGGACAATTTATTGTTCTTAAAGAGTGAAACAATGAACCTTCTATTTAACACTTAGCTAATAAGTATGCAAAAAAAAAACTTCCAAACACTTAACTTAAATGCGTATATGATTTATAGTTTTCTATGTACACCTTATAAATATAACTAGTTTTTATCCTGAAATAACACTAATATCTTTCATGCAATAGATGTAAAAAATATTATATATTAATTTGTTATTGACAGAGTTGCACAATAATCTGTTGTGAGGTATGATGAGAACATTTTACATGTCAGTACATAACAATCTAATTTACAAATAGAAAACATCCAACTAATATATTATCTTGTTAACAACTCATCATCCTTATCACCATCTTCAATTTATAGATTGTTCTTCCTTTATAAATATGATTGAAAATGATTAATAAAAATATATTATAAATTTACAATGTCTTTGTTAAGTCCTTTCACTTCTTTTATTTTAGCTTTAGGTGTTTGTTTTGTCATTTCCACATGCCACTATGGTGTTAATGCTAATGAGATCACATCAAAACTAGTAATTGATGCTGGTTCTGGAAGGCTTATTCCAGATACATTTTTTGGAGCATTTTTTGAAGTAAATGACACTTTCAATATATTTAATTAAATTTGATTATCACAGATAAAGTACTACGGTAATGCGATCTTATAATACATTGATGTAATATACATTTTTCAGGAGATTAATCATGCGGGAGCTGGAGGATTGTGGGCAGAACTTGTGAATAATAGAGGTATATATATTCTCACTGAAAAAACATTCATCTTTGAGTTTATTTTCCTAGTAAGAGACAAATTTCATATATTTCCTTTAAAAGTTTAAGTTACTAATTTTGTTCCCATTTTAATATTATTTTTTTCAGTTGTTAGATCTGTTTCACCATTTTATATCTTTTGTAAATTAATGTTTTAGGTTTTGAAGCTGAAGGTTCCATTAATGGGAACTCGAATATTCATCCATGGACAATTATTGGAGAAAATCAATCATCCGTTATTGTATCAACAGAAAGTTCTTCTTGTTTTGAGCGTAATAAAATTGCATTACGTATGGATGTTCTTTGTCATAAAAAATCTTGTCCACGTGGTGGTGTTGGTATTTCCAATCCTGGTTTTTGGGGAATGGTGAGTATCAATTAGTACAATACTTTATTTATCATATGAAAAATTAAAGTTATTTATAATATGTTTTACATGTATAAACAGAATATCGAGGAAGGGAAGAAATATAAAGTAGTGTTCTATGTTAGATCACTTGGTCGAATTAATTTACAAGTTTCATTTGTTGGATCTGATAATGGTGTCAAATTAGCTTCAACTAAAATAAGGTTATAATTCTATTTCTTTAATTAATTTTTTGAAACAACATCTTGTTCATTAATTCTATCATTACCAAACTAAAATAAACTAATAATTGAGTTATTAATGAATGAATATCAGAGCTTTTGGAGTTAATGTTACAAAGTGGAGTAAGATGGAAATAATTCTTGAAGCCAAAAGTACTAATCACAATTCGAATCTACAAATAACAACAAACAAAAAAGGAGTATTATGGTTAGATCAAGTCTCAGTCATGCCTTTAGATACATATAAGGTATATTATGCATAAAATTATATTTATATTACATATTTATTTATTCTTAGATTATTTATTTTTTTTCTATATTATAAGAACTTATCTCATTAATCTTTATTGGACACAGGGTCATGGTTTTCGAAATGATCTTTTTCAAATGGTGGCAGATTTAAAGCCAAAAACTTTTAGGTTCCCAGGTACGGTGCAATAATATTGAGTTGGAATCACTCTGGATAATTGTTTCTTTCATGAAATTTTTTTATTCATTTCCATCTTTTTTTTATTAAATATTTTACTAAGTGACAAATATATAATAAATTTTTTTATATAGGTGGTTTTTATGTTGAAGGAGATTACCTAAAATATGCATTTAGGTGGAAAGATACAGTTGGACCATGGGAAGAGAGACCTGGCCACTACAATGATAATTGGAAGTATTGGACCGATGATGGATTTGGTTATTTTGAAGGGCTTCAAGTAATTTTTTTCTACTTTAAAATATTAAATGTTTTTTTATTAAATTAAAATTATTAAGTTTTTGTTTGTTAAACAGTTATCAGAGGATCTTGGTGCATATCCAGTATGGGTGTTTAATAATGGTATTAGTCATCATGATGAAATTAATACGTCTGCAATTTCACCATTTGTACAAGTATAATTTTCTTAATATTATTTTATATTATATAAATTGTATTTATAATTTTAATTAATTCATTCATTCATTTTTATTTATACATTTTGATCATTAATTAATTAATAGGAAGCTCTGGATGGTATTGAGTTTGCTAGAGGTTCTCCAGAATAAAAATGGGGTTCTCTTAGAGCTTCCATGGGACATCCAAAGCCATTTGATTTAAGATATGTTGGAGTTGGAAATGAAGATTGTGGTAAATATAACTATCAAGGAAATTATCTCGAGTTCTATAAAGCTATAAAACCTAGATATCCTGATATTCAGATTATCTCAAATTGTGACGGTTCTCAATTTCCAATCAATCATCCCGCAGATCTTTATGATTTTCATGTAATAATATGTTGATTAATTATTAATTGTTTTTTAAATTTTTTATCATTAATTTATAATTATTAAATCTGAGTTTAGGTTGAGTATCTTACATGCTATTATTGCTAATACTTTTTTCAATTATTAGATATATACAAATTCTAAGGACATGTTTTCCCAATATACCAAGTTCGATAAAGCACCACGATCCGGTCCAAAGGTTTGATTATTAAAAAAATTCATTTATTTAAAAATAGTGAATTATATGTTTTTAGTAGATTAGGCATTTAAAATTGCATTGATATAGAAATTTGCTCATGCTTTATTAATTGCATTTTATAGGCATATGTTAGTGAGTATGCTGTTTGGAGGGAAGATGCAGGTAATGGAAGCCTTTATGCAGCTGTGGCTGAAGCTGCATTTCTTATTGGGCTTGAAAAAAATAGGTTAGGTTTTATTATATATAAAATTTTATGATATTTAATTAATAAATTTTGTGGTTTTTTGAGTTAAATTTTAAACATTTTTCAATTTTCTACAGCGATGTCGTTAGCATGGTTGCCTATGCACCACTCTTCGTAAACACAAATGACAAATTGTAATTTTCTAATTTCTTATCATTTGTTTTTATTTATTATTTATATATGTCAATACATATATGATTTATTTAATTAATTCATTTTTATATGAAATAGTTGGAAACCAGATGCAATTGTATTCGACTCTTATCAAAATTATGGAACTCCAAGTTATTGGCTCCAACAATTTTTCATTGATTCTAATGGAGCAACCTTTCTTAATTCAACTCTCCACAATTCTTCAAGCTCGATTGTTGCCTCTGCAATTCAGTATAAAAATTCTCAAGATGGGAAGAATTATCTAAAAGTCAAGGTAAAATAACTCAAATTTTTTATAATGAATAAATGTTGATTTAAAGTATTTAATTTTTAATTAGTTAATTGCACAACTATTAACTTGTGCAGGTAGTAAACTTTGGAAGCTCAATTGAAAACTTAGAAATTTTAATAAACAATTTAAAATCAAATGTGCAACAATCTGGTTCATCAAAAGTGATTCTTACCTCCCCGGATAAAATGGACGAAAATTCTTTCACTGAACCAACAAAGGTACACTTTATTTTTAAACACAATATGCAATTTGTCATAGAGATATATTGTGATTTTTTTCTTTAATTTCTTTATGTTTTAATTTAAAAATAAAAAAAATTATAAGCCGATTAAATTTAAGTTTAATCAATATTGATTATATAAAAAAAAATCTAATACATGATTTTGTTTCATTTTGTATATGTACAGATTATACCCAAAAGAACTTCACTTGAAAATGCAAGCAATGACATGAATGTTGAACTTGCTCCATATTCAGTTACATCGTTTGATTTATTAATTTAAAACACTATTTTCTAGAAGGAATAAATGGAAGAAATGTGTACATTTCTATTTCTATTACATAAAGTTCATCTTGGTTTGCCATCCATATGCACTGTATATACTTCTATTTCTCTTCACTAGTGAATTGTAATATCAAAATCAATAAAAATGTACTTTAGCCACAAAAAAAGTTTGATACATTACAAGCTGGAAACCAAATGAAGACAACAACACGTTGTAATCTTTAAACAAGTGTAAATATTCCTTCTAGTAAAGTAGTAGTAAATGAGTAGAATAAGTTCTTGGAAATTTTTCCATTCATTAGACATAAATAAAATTAAAATATGGTGGCAAATAGAGAGGTGGTTGTAGATAATAAAGAAAAGGAAAGTTGTGTTACCTTTCGAAAACGGTAGATATCCGATTAACATGAAATATACGTGTGTTCTATTAAATATTTCAAGTATAAAATTCTAAACAAACTTAATAAAATACATTGGCTGAAATAATTTCAAGAGTAATAAGTCTTTGTTTATAACATGTTTATAATAATTATAATTATAATAATAATAATAATAATAATAATAATAATAATAATAATAATAATAATAATAATAATAATAATAAGAAGAAGAAGAAGAAGAAGAAGAAGAAGAAGAAGAATAACAATAACATTTTTGAATAATAATAATAATAACAACAACAACAACAACAACAATAATAATAATAATAATTAGGGTTAAATATGTTTTTGGTCCCTATAAATATCTCACATTTTATTTTTAGTCCCTATAAAAAAAAGACATATTTTGGTCCCTACAAAAATTTTATGCATGCAATTTTAGTCCTTGTTATTTTCTAAAATTTTGAAAACTATTTAATTACCCTTAAACTTTTAAATTTTTGAATTTTTTTCATACATGTTTAGATTACTATAAAATATTTCATTACTAAATTAAATAATTTTTTAAAATGAGAAAAATCAAATATGAATTTTTTAAATTTCAAAAGATAATGATAAAAATAATAAAAATCTTGATTTATAAATCAAATTTTAAGTTCCTTTTCTTTCGAGGAACTTTTTATATTATTCTAAACCTAACTGCAAAATAATCATTCAAAAATACACATTGCTTTAACAGTAGAGACTAAAACTACGTGTATAATTATTTGTAGTGACCAAAACACCCTATTTTTTTATAGGGACCAAAAACAAAAGTTGGTAATTTTATAGGGACAAAAAAACATATTTAACCCTAATTATTATTATTATTATTATTACTTATTAAAATAGCATGGCAATGTGATCCAATAGCCAACAACTATTTTCTTTGTCGGTCCTTGACAATTTCTCTCAAATGCATTAAAGCCAAAAAAAAATTGCATGGTTTTACAAACCCTAATGCCTCAGCTCCAATTTGGCTTCGTCCACCATCACAATGGTTCTGACAGCACCATTCTTTTTCTGAGTCAATAGCAGTTCAAGAATGTTGCTCTATAGATGGTGGTTATATTTCGTTGGCTCTAATCTAGCTTTTCAAGTGATTCTCATTGTTTTCAAAGATTTTAATTTGTATGTATCTCCCTGGTTTTGTATTTTACTATTTCTTTGATTTGTTTTGTCTTGGACTTTTTGTGCACTATTTGTGCTTTCTTTGAGCCTGATTTGTAGCTTTCAACCTATTGTACCCTTTTTAGATATTTGAAATAAGTTAGTTTATTGTGAAAAAGCTTTCGAAGTGTTATTGATTAAGATGAAAAGAATTGAATGTTGATCAAGTATTTGATTTGAATTTAAAACGATTTGATTATGAAATGGTTATGAAATTGAAAAAGGGGTAATGAAAATGAATTGAAGGTTTGGTGAAATGTTTTGAAAATTACTTGATGTTTATCAAGTGGTTTTGGTTTTAATTTTGAAATAATAATTTTAGTAGACTTTATAATTATTTGTTTATTATTTATGATTTTTTTCTTAATATACTTTTTCATATACAAAAATAAAATTAACATAAAATATAAAAGCAAAATAAAAAAAGGGGGTCAAAAATATAAAAGGGGTGTGTTAAAAAGGAAAAACTAATAGAGTAAATGGGCCCAAGGCCCAATCAACAAAAAACAAATAAAAATGGGGGCGCAACATTAAATCATAGGTTTTGTTCAGCAATTGAGCCTAAGGCCCACGCTTCCAAGGCCCAATGACTGAAACAAAAACAAAAAATAAGAAACTGGAAAATCCAGACCGTCTGGTGATGATGAGACGACTGTGATCTTAAAATAAGAGGTTTTGCATCCATACCTTATGATCTTTATCATGTGCCTAACCATAGTTCATGTCCACAGTAAGCGATATGGGGATCCTACTTATTTATTGTGGAGTCGTCAGTTATGTTTCGAATTCTTGTGATTACAGAGGGGACCTAGCCATATAATATATATAACCCTAGTCCCTACCCATTGTGGGCCCAGGGTCAAATCCCACACGTATGCGCACACCAATCAAGTTTCAGACACTCGGCCTTTAATTAAAAGTGATCACTTAACCCATATAAGGGCTTATATATGCACGGCCATCAGAATCAGGATTAACCTATTTTTCACATACTAAACAACAATTGATTGTAACCCATAAAAAATTAGATAAATCTAACATTCTCCCACTAGGACAAAATCAATTGTGTGATTTTTATTTCAAAATACGTTTTGAAAATGAGTCTCGGGTTATTGACTAATTCCTTAAAATGCGGCGCATTTTAAGGAAATGCATGACTTTAGGTGCAATGTCTGAATATGACTCCATCCAACAAAAGTCAAGCAATATTTAATCAACCTTTGTAGCTTTGAACCTATTGTACCCTTTTTAGATATTTGCACAAGTTTACTTGAGTTTTCAAAAAAAAAATTGCTCGTGGCTCTAATGCATAGCATTATGTAAGAATAGTTTATGCATGAAGACAATCACTTATACTTTTTTTTTATCGAAAAAAAAAGGACAATTTATTGTTCTTAAAGAGTGAAACAATGAACCTTCTATTTAACACTTAGCTAATAAGTATGCAAAAAAAAACTTCCAAACACTTAACTTAAATGCGTATATGATTTATAGTTTTCTATGTACACCTTATAAATATAACTAGTTTTTATCCTGAAATAACACTAATATCTTTCATGCAATAGATGTAAAAAATATTATATATTAATTTGTTATTGACAGAGTTGCACAATAATCTGTTGTGAGGTATGATGAGAACATTTTACATGTCAGTACATAACAATCTAATTTACAAATAGAAAACATCCAACTAATATATTATCTTGTTAACAACTCATCATCCTTATCACCATCTTCAATTTATAGATTGTTCTTCCTTTATAAATATGATTGAAAATGATTAATAAAAATATATTATAAATTTACAATGTCTTTGTTAAGTCCTTTCACTTCTTTTATTTTATCTTTAGGTGTTTGTTTTGTCATTTCCACATGCCACTATGGTGTTAATGCTAATGAGATCACATCAAAACTAGTAATTGGTGCTGGTTCTGGAAGGCTTATTCCAGATACATTTTTTGGAGCATTTTTTGAAGTAAATGACACTTTCAATATATTTTATTAAATTTGATTATCACAGATAAAGTACTACGGTAATGCGATCTTATAATACATTGATGTAATATACATTTTTCAGGAGATTAATCATGCGGGAGCTGGAGGATTGTGGGCAGAACTTGTGAATAATAGAGGTATACATATTCTCACTGAAAAAACATTCATCTTTGAGTTTATTTTCCTAGTAAGAGACAAATTTCATATATTTCCTTTAAAAATTTAAGTTACTAATTTTGTTCCCATTTTAATATTATTTTTTTCAGTTGTTAGATCTGTTTCACCATTTTATATCTTTTGTAAATTAATGTTTTAGGTTTTGAAGCTGAAGGTTCCATTAATGGGACCTCGAATATTCATCCATGGATAATTATTGGATAAAATCAATCATCCGTTATTGTATCAACAGAAAGTTCTTCTTGTTTTGAGCGTAATAAAATTGCATTACGTATGGATGTTCTTTGTCATAAAAAATCTTGTCCACGTGGTGGTGTTGGTATTTCCAATCCTGGTTTTTGGGGAATGGTGAGTATCAATTAGTACAACACTTTATTTATCATATGAAAAATTAAAGTTATTTATAATATGTTTTACATGTATAAACAGAATATCGAGGAAGGGAAGAAATATAAAGTATTGTTCTATGTTAGATCACTTGGTCGAATTAATTTACAAGTTTCATTTGTTGGATCTGATAATGGTGTCAAATTAGCTTCAACTAAAATAAGGTTATAATTCTATTTCTTTAATTAATTTTTTGAAACAACATCTTGTTCATTAATTCTATCATTACCAAACTAAAATAAACTAATAATTGAGTTATTAATGAATGAATATCAGAGCTTTTGGAGTTAATGTTACAAAGTGGAGTAAGATGGAAATAATTCTTGAAGCCAAAAGTACTAATCACAATTCGAATCTACAAATAACAACAAACAAAAAAGGAGTATTATGGTTAGATCAAGTCTCAGTCATGCCTTTAGATACATATAAGGTATATTATGCATAAAATTATATTTATATTACATATTTATTTATTCTTAGATTATTTATTTTTTTTCTATATTATAAGAACTTATCTCATTAATCTTTATTGGACACAGGGTCATGGTTTTCGAAATGATCTTTTTCAAATGGTGGCAGATTTAAAGCCAAAAACTTTTAGGTTCCCAGGTACGGTGCAATAATATTGAGTTGGAATCACTCTAGATAATTGTTTCTTTCATGAAATTTTTTTATTCATTTCCATCTTTTTTTTATTAAATATTTTACTAAGTGACAAATATATAATAAATTTTTTTATATAGGTGGTTGTTATGTTGAAGGAGATTACCTAAAATATGCATTTAGGTGGAAAGATACAGTTGGACCATGGGAAGAGAGACCTGGCCACTACAATGATAATTGGAAGTAT